GCGAACCGAACGGAACTGCGAATCCAGTGTTAAGTATTTGTCCCGAAAAGTTGAAGCAAACGAAACATTCGGTCACTTGTTGTCAATTTAACTCAACGGCTGATAAACTATTGGCCACTTATAACGATGAAGACATCTATACGTTTGATCCGAAAACTGGTTTATCTGAGACGCGATACAGTGGACACCGAAATAACGCAACGGTTAAGGGCTGCGCCTGGTTTGGCGACCAGTATATTGTCAGTGGCAGTGATGATGGGTATGGCATGTGATTGATTGGTTGTTATGACTTATTGATTGTTTCGTATAGTTATGTCTACGGTTGGGACTCACAGACGCAGCACATCGTTATGTCTCTATACGCCGATGAGAACGGAGTTGTAAGACATGATTGCAATTGTTTTCTCACTATCATTGCACTTGACTTTGAAATAAAATGCTTGCAATTATAACGTAATGTGTAAATGTTTAGGTGAATTGTATAGAGCCTCACCCGACGGCTCCCATTATGGCCACATCGGGTCTGGACGATGACGTGAAGGTATGGGTGCCGTCAGCTAACGAGTGGCCGCAGACAATGAAAGGCATAAAACAGGTTTAGAAAAGAGATTCAAAATGATTACATTTGGACTCTTTGTAAATGAAATATAAACCAAAATTTGTAGCGAATTTGTGCGAACATTAAAGAAAGACAACGATCTCATCGTAGACTCGAACGGCTCGGCGACGGCTTCGATAGAGTGGACGGCGCTATGGATGCGGCGATGCTTTACGAGATCATCAGACATATGAGGAGACGCTCACGAAGGAGGAGGAATGGTCTCTATATGAACACCAATTGTTCACTTCTTTTTATGCAAATTCATTACTTATTTTGAATTATTTTTGTTTGTTTTTATGGATAATAGCAGCGAATAATGACAACGAAGAAGACGATAGCGAAGACACCGACAGTGATAGCGATGCAGACAATGGCCCACAAGAATGCATTCAATCTTAAACTATATTTCATAAATTTTTTGATTGTTTGCCTCTATTTATGTAAATAATTGATAAAAATATGTTAAAATATGTTTTTAACTCAAAGTTGATGTTAATTTTGTCGTTAAATTATGACAATAATTGTATTCATATTAATAAGTGATCCGTTTATATATAAGTGGATCAATCG